TTTTTTTAATAAAAATATATATGTATTTATCATTAAATTGAAAAAAAATTTAGTTATTTTTAATAAATTTCATAATCGTGATAGAAATCGCTAATTAATGTGACCTCGATGTATTTAATTAACTAAATAATTGAAAGCATGACTAACATGTTGAATTCAACAAAAAAAAAAATATTATATTAAGAGGGTGATGGATTGATTTAGTTTCATGTCTTGGCAAAGGAAGGATTAGTGCCAAATTTACCATTGTATTCTAAGCCAATGTTGGATATGTTGTCACTATAGTTTGATTTTAAGTGATTCAGATATAATTTAATTAAAAAAGAATATTCCTTTTTAATAAATGAAAACAAATATCAAACATTAAAAAACCTGACATGGAATTTTTAATTATAAAAAAAATTAAAACTTAAAATTTCTTTTTTCTTTCTCTTTCCTTTTTTCTGAATCAATCCCCTTTTTTAAAACAACAATGTTGACTTCAGAGTACATTGGTGAATTTGACATTAATCTCTTTCTTTGCAAAGAGGTGGAACGAAATCAATTAATAACAATACATATAAGACTACAATCCTTTTTTTTTTTTGAATTTAGCATGTGAGTCATGCTTTCTATTATATCTTTAAATAACTACATTGATATCATATTTAGTGGTCATTATCACAATTATAGAATCTATTAAGCATAATAGTAAAAAGAAATTCTTCGCATTTAAAAATTTGATTTAAGTATTCTTATATATATGTATCTCTTTACTCAAAAAAATATGTCCTTATGGTACATCTTTAATTACATTAGGTCTTCACTTCATCACTTTCTATACACTATTAACTATAATATAAAGTATAAATTTTTTGTGTGAATTCAGCATGTGAGTCATGCTTTCAATTATCTATTAAATTTTTAATAATCTGTCCTTATTTTTTATAATAAATTATTTATTAAATTAATTAAACTTAGATCATATTTAGTGATATGTTATGAAGTCTATTAGGCATAACTACATAAAGAAAATTTTCACATATAAACATTTTATTTAATGATAAGTACATTCATATGTCTTTGCTTAAAGAGTTGAGTTTGAATATTTTATTAAAATAAAAAAATTCTTCATGATATTCTAATATTTTTAATCCAACATTTCAATTTTACAATGTAAACATTATGTGAATGGTAGGAGTACTAGTCTTAAAAAAGACAAAGAAAACACCCACTTGAACTAGATTCTTTTGGGTATATAAAATTTGGACTAGATGGTTATTAGTACTAGCCAGTTGCTGGCATATGAGTCAGGTTTGGCTCCAAAAGAATGAGGCATAAGGAATTTTCTCCCATGCAAGCTTTGAGTAGCTTTTGTACAGACCTTTGATCAGTTTTTACAGTCCTTGAGAAGAGTAAAAGGGGATGAACAACACATGCTTAAAGAAAGGATCAAGGCCTATTTCCATCAGCCACACTCGAAGAGAAAGAGAGAGAGAGATAGTGAGAAGAAATGATTGGAGGGAAAAGAAAGCAACGTAACATGAAAGAAAATAAAGAACACAGCAACAAGAGTGGCAGAGAGGCCTTGCTAAACAAGAGTCAAGAGATATCGAGCCATTGGCACTTTTGGCAATTCGGCATTAACAGTGGGATTGGAAAGTCGGGTTCAACGCCTGACCTTGGTGGAACCCAGCCATGTTGCTCTTGTTTGGCTCATGTCTGTTGGGTCACAGTCAATGGACAAGCCTTTAACTACTGGGACTAGGACCATCTTTCCTCTCACAGGAGGACATTTCTCCTTCCGGACAAGATTTGGGGCCAATTCTTAAAGTCAAGCTTAGCATAGTCGTACTCAAAAATGGAACTATGCTACTCAATGAGCAGGTTCCCCCTGAAAAAAAAGCGTGAGGTTCAAGGTAAAGAATCGAGTGGGAATTAATTAAGAGAGTTGGAAGGGAGAGAATTACTCCTTTTGGGGCCTTCACTTCTCAACAGTAAAAGACCAGACAGCAGCGCAACTAAAAAAGTTCTCACTTTTTGTTGCACACATGAAGAAAAGCAATGTAACATTTCCTGTAATTTGTTTATGCATTGAATTCGAAGGCCATTTTTTTTTTGTTGAAATGCATGCACAGGCTGAGAACAGAATCTTTTCATTAAATTTTTGGTTCTCGATAATTTCAAGCACAGTTGGAAAATGAACATCTACTTTTCTGAATGCTAGATAGGGTAGATGTATGCAGCAGAGCAGATTCGAATTATTGGAAGTTGCACTTCTTTGCCAGGATTTCAGGCAAGTTCTTGTTGGCAACAAAGAAAACCTAAAAATGAGAACATTTAATTGATTCCTACAGTTCTTCACTACCTGGCTCTTTCTTTTACCAATTCCAATATTATCTTTTGAACACATATTCAGCTGGTAGAGCTGGTTAGTTTCAAGTGTACATTGTGAACTGTACTTGCAATAGTAAGCTCCTCCACTGGATAATGTGTTTCTTTGTGTAATACTGTATTTATACAACCATTAATACATTAGAAATTAGCTTGCATAAATTTTATCACAGGTAACCAGCAGTTGGCGGAGAACAAGAATAGAATCTGGAATATTGGCAATGTCTCTGCTAATTTTAACAAAGAGCTAATTATCTGCTAGAGATCATCCCGATGGTGCTTCTGCAAAGTGATATTATTGGCTACAGCTATATGGGCAAAAGAAAAAGATGGTTCTACTCCTTCCGGTTTTGGTTAATTCCATTTGTTAGTTAGCAGATATCGACTCCAGTTTCACCATGCATGATGTTTAACAAAAGCAGGAATTTTCAATTGGGAAACTCAATCGAGCTCTTTCCAACTTGTTGTGAAACTAGTTCCTTCTCAGCTCTTCTCACTAAACGCTATTGCACAATGTCAACATGAACATTTCACAAGTTCATAGTATCACTACTTTCAGAACCATCTTCCGGAGAGGTTGCGATCGGGAGTTCCTCAATGAGGGGACCTAGTTTATACTTTGGCCACAAACAACTATGATCCTTGTAAACAATGCTGAAAAATCAACTTCATCATGCTTTGATAAATCATAAGGGTTGTTAATATAACCCCTTCTTAATAAAGCACAATTCTCTCCTTTCACTGATTATTGATTGACTCTCTTAATTCTGCATATAATTCCCATGACATTGCATATCCTGCATCTTAACTCTTTTGATATTCTTGGGATTGTATTGATTACTTTCTATTCTTCGTCACACTGCATATTCCATTTATGAGACAATCTCAATGAGTCAAATCAAGCTATAATCATTCTCGGTGCAAATTCCTTACTTGGTATCAGAGCACCATTGAGCTCCAACGAGTTCCTAAAAGTTCCTGGTTATTCTTTTTTTTTCCTTCTTCTGTCTCATGGCTGATTCTTCACAAAACTCCCCCACTAGCCTCTCCAATAACTCAGCCATCTCTACCCCACCCATTATCTCAACAATCAGTGGCATTACCCAACAACCAAATCTGATTACCATTAACCCGGCATCACAGCTTCCTCTCAAACTTCTAGGAAGTCATAATTATTCTACATGGACAGCCCAAGTTGCCACTCTCTTTCTTGAGTATGATCTTATTCCATATATCGACAGCACAATTCTCTCCTTAAATTGATTATTGATTGACTCCCTTAATTCTGCATATAATCCCCATGACATTGCATATCCTGCTCCTTAACTCTTTCGATATTCTTGGGATTGTATTGATTTCTCTCTATTCTTCGTCACACTGCATATTCTCCCAATGAGTGAAATCAAGCTATAATCATTCTGGGTGCAAATTCCTTACACTTCTGATGCATTCCACTCTTAAAGACAAAGCATGAAAGCAAAACTTTCAGACCGCGGGAAATAAGAAATTGATCCACATGAAGAACCAAGTTCGCCAAGTCTATAAGCATTAAGCAAGACTAAAATATGATGACCCGTCTCTGGTAGCCCTACGAAGTAGTTCCAACAACGTTTTCATCAAACAATATTGTTTCCCAGATTTGCACATGGCTCTGTTACAATGCTTCCAACAACATTTCTCTTACTCAGTGCGCCGATGTCACAACTCAATCAAACTGCAGTTGAGGACTGACACCTGAGTGTCAAGTTGAGTAAAGTGACGCAGACTTCCATCAGTGAAATGCCGGAGGAATCAAAACATGCGCAAAAGCAAGAAATTATCAGTTATCCAGCTGGGCAACGGATATTCTTTATGCAAGCTTTTCCAATAGCCTAGCAGCTTTAGCTGGACCCGCGAAATCAACCATTTATCTCTGCAACTTGAACGCCACATGTGCTATATAAATCAATATTCCATCTGTTAACACCTTTTTTTCATTTTTTTTTTAAAAGTAATTTAAGGCAATTTTGTAATAATCATGTGGCCTAAATCAATATTAAATAATCAATTAATTTGCTTTCAATTTAGGCTTTGGAATAGATTCTTTTCATTTGGGCCTCTTTCACTTGTGCTTTTTCAACTTGGGTTCCCTTGGATTAATTTTGTTTGGACTCAATTGAACATTTTTCTCGTTTGGACCCATTTAATTTGGGTTATTTGGACATGTCTTGTTTGGACTTAGTTCAATTGGATTGACTGGAATCAATTCACCCCAAATTATGAGTCATTTAGGCGCTTTAAACTAAACCTAAACCAAACAAACTCTTAATATGTCCCTGCAAAATTCCAGCCCTTATGCTCGAAGATCATCTATAAATCGAAATTTATTCTTTCTAATAAGTTTAAGCGAAGTTTAAAATTTTATTAACGATAAATTCAATTATTTGTCTTTTTGTTCTTAAATGAAGTGATAAAAAAAATACGTACGTGTCACAAATATTAAATCAATAAAAAATTAAATAAATTTTAAATTAACAAATAAACTCCCGACAGGTGTTATCAAAACATACTTAAATCTTCATTAATGCAAGACACTGAACCAAGATGCAAGATCTCTTAGAAGTAAATGCAAACCAGAAATAGTCTTGTATCATCTAATAGACGTGTCTTGTTTCATTTACCTAATGAATGGAGAAATTATCTTTCATTACATTCATTTAAGGCGCACTTAATATTTTGTAAACATCTTTAACGATTAGGATTCCCACCAAAGACAATGCAGAGCCAGTCTTCGGGCCTTGTAGCCATATCCAAAAATTTTCACGAGATACAGTACTAGAAATTCTGCAAAACTTCCATCGTAAAAGAACAAGGGTAAAATCTGTCCTGCTCCCCGCTATAAGGTTGACACTAACTATTAAAAAACAAAAGAATCATGTCAATCCCTGGCTCATTTGATCAGGGTTTGCAAGTCAACCTCTATCTTGTTACTTACATCCGCACTGCAAGCAAAACAACATTTGCATCTTCGGGTAAAACCAAAAGCACATTGTCGGACTAGGAACTTCTGGCGTGATCAAAACTGGAGAACCTACACATTGCCCGCCTAAACTGCAATCCCTATCTGCCTTCGCATATCAGGTAGCACAATAATGGTGTAGGAGGACCATGAACAGATGGTGAATGCTGCAATGATACACTTTGGAAGTATATGATTGGTGATTGCATGCAATGGAAGCCCAGATGAAGTATGAACTTTACTTGTTATCTTGTAGACTCAAAGTGGGTAAAAAGAATCAATAGTATCAGTTAATCTGAGTGTGGAATTATGTGAATGCTGGAGACACGCACATTCTGGCAAAGGATATGTGTATATGGAAGTCTTTCTGTTGAATTTTTTTACTCTGGGCACCATCATCCCCTTGCGATCATTTTCTGCAAGCATTACTCTCATCTCATCCTTAAAAGCTTTCCAACTGCAAAGTGAGAACATAGATGTTTTATACCTATACAGAAGTGAGACAAAGAGAACATGCACGTGGGGCTTGACAGAACCCTACAGATATGTATAGAGACCTATAAAACTACTCCATTCTCCTAGGATATTTTCAACCTACCACTGTTTATACAAAGCTTAAGTCCAACATATGTAAACTTTTCAAAGTCCAAGATCTTTGAACTTTATAACCCTGGCCAGTAATCCAACATGGTAGCATTAGCAAGGTCTTGTTCCTCCAGAAGTTCAGAGGATAAATACCTGATACCTATGTCTTGCAGCAAAACCACAAGCTTGCGTTTATCAGGCTTGATAGTCTTTGCATGTCCATAAAAAAGAAATCTCCGGTGGCCCATCAAAAAATGTGGAAAATTTCCACCCTGGGTTGTCACAAACACCTCACTAAACAAGCTTACTGTGTAGTCTAAAGCTGCCATCCTTGAGGAATACCCCTATCAAGAGAAAAGAAAAAGGATGTTAAACAGATGTTCAGAGGGTTTCCTCCCTTATAGGATAAACTAGTTTATCAATTTAAGTCAAACTTGTTCAGAGATCAGTCATTTTGGAGGTCATTCAGTTGACTTGTTTGCCTTGTCAATTAGTCCAGGAGCAAACCACAAAAACTGATCAGAGTCAAAGGAGTAGGCAATGAATGGGATAAAATTGCTTTGTTCAATTCTGTTTAATCAATCACTGACAAGAGGACAAATGAAAATGAACCTTAAAGATGTAGCTGGATGTTCCAGTTTCATAAAGAAAACCTGATTTAAAAAGAGAGATTAAAACATTGTGGTCTAAGTTGTCTAAGTTCTCCTTATAATTACTGTTCTTAAAACAATTACCGGTGCCATGTAAAATAGTTGAATAGTCATTCCTAAGTCTCTAAGCCAGAAGTATATCAATAATTTCATTTAAGGAAAAATTTTCTATCCAAAGGCTTAAGACAGGCCATTTCCATAAGAATGTGAGGCTCAGTGAAGTTATTATAGCAATTTGAAAACGCTTGAAAAACTTGCTCAATTGATCTTACTACAGATAATCTATATGCGCTCCTAATAAGATGAAATACATATGAAGTATTTATTCAAGGAAAGAGCAGACCAAGATGTGTATAACTGGAACTAATAATTTAAGATTCTATGTGTAGTGTTTTGGTGAGACAAACGAAGATCTTCTGCTCATGTTGCACTCCTGAGTAGTCAGAATACAGCACTGTTAATGATACCTTATGGGAAAACTAATTCACTTACAGGGGAAAAAAAATATCCATAACATGCTCCAAACCTTAAATATTGTAAGAATGGTAGCACTGCATTTACCTCAAAAGGGGCAAGCTCACCAGGTGCAGCAAGGGACTCCTTGGTGTAAAGAAGGGGAAACATCTTTAGCAAAGGAGCTAGATGTTTTTCTGCCTGGTAAATTTTCCCTGAGGCTAAGTAAATTGAAGTGTTGTTATCAAATCCCATACCGCGTAGCATCAGTCCAACCTATGGTGACCAGAAAAACATTGTGCAGAAAGAGTTATTATTTGTCACAAATGGACAGAATATATCATAAGTTAATTATAGAGAAATGCAAGGACAAGTTGAAATATGAATTCCATATTACATCGAAAAGATTTAACAACTTAGAGAATGAAATAAAACGCCAATGGAATAATTACCATATTTTAGTACTATTGGAATATGGTGCATGTTACTAGACATTAAGATTTCATTTATCGTTTGACCAGGATAATGCATTGAATAACTAGAATATGAAAGAATCCTGAATCTATTGTGTCCAGCAGCATTTCAAGAAACTAAAAAATCAAAATAAAAAAAACAATAGCAAGGCACTAAAGCATGTTCCCACTTGCAGAATTCATTTTACAATAATTGTGGTCAAGGATGAAAGACCTGATCAAATGCTGCTTAGGGCAGAAGTCAGCTAGTCAATATAGGAAAGAGATCCAATACAAAACATATAAGCTACACCAAGAAATGTAGGAAGACTATACAATATAGGAACACCTAAGCCTAATCCTGATTGTTATGTAGGATTTTGTTCTGCCTTACAGTTCTATTTAGAGTTATTTTACTTCAATGGGTCACTTGGTTTTCCATACAGCTTCAAAGTTTAAACTAGGACTGGCTTCCTACACCCTTGTAGCAGCTCAAACTAAATAATTGATAGAAACACGAATAGAACAAGGAGAAGAGCTCATAAATTTGTATTGCAACTGCAAGTACAGCATGTAGCCTTTTCTTTAAATAGTATGGTTCCAGAGCCGCAAAAAGTATTGAATGAAATGTTTAGATAGACTATACTTGGAGAAAGCAGCAAAGAGATTCAACTTTTATTAGGTACCTCAACAGGGGATAGAGGACATTTTCCTTCAACTCGATTGAGAGTAGGTAAGATGACACGATCCCTTCGTTTAAACTTCCCCTTCCACCCTTTTTCTCTAAAAGAATCCATTTCGAATTTTTCAGCCTGTCCTCCATCATAAACACAGCATGAAAAGGCCACCATATCCTAACAATTGAAGAGGGGTAATTAATCGTCATATTAGGTTTCTTTGGGAAATGAATAGCTTGCTTTAGGTAAGGGCCAAAAAAAGGATTAGCATGATACCTGCTCAAACCTGAGGTGGACAGAAACATATTTTCCCCCACTCCTTGAGCTCTTCTCAATCATCCTATTGACTAGTTTCTCAGCAAGTGTTGATATAGCTAGAGAGAATTTCAATGCTTTATAATTGGCTACGCATCTTAGCAACTGAATATGAGGTGGGACATGCATTGCCAGTCTATTAGCAAAGGGCGCAATGCGGATAACTCTGCATCAAACATATAACCATCACAACCAAATTAGAAGTATACTTAGAGAAAATATTTGGTTAAATATTTAAATATATAGGAAAAAAATTGTTTTTATTCAAGAATCTGCCCACTTCAATTCACAGCTTGCTAATATAATAACTATTTCATTATATTAAGAGAATAAAAGAACCCATTTTATTAATGACAAATAAAATCTAGAACTGGAAGATATAATATGACACGTACCCTTGATCCCTCAAAATGGGATGAACAACTCCCAAGTAATAATTTACAGGAGCCCAAGCTTGGACTCGGAGATTTGGAATATTGGAAATGTTGTGATCATATTTTTCCATCAATGCCTCGGGCAACTCCCTAACCACATTTACATAACCTTTAAGGTTGTCTATGAAGTGATCCTCATCATATATATCCCCAAACTGACTGCAAAATGGGTGAGCTTTTAAGCATCAGGTTTCGCAATATCCTTAAGTTAAATTTGGACACAATGAGTCAATGACAGTATACCTAGGATCATTCCAAACACTGTTGAGTTCAAACTGAGGAATAACTAGTATTGCATTTAAGAGTCCAGCTACAGCCACTGCATTGCATATCTACAGAAAAGAAAAATGTAATGATGTTTACATGCACATGACAGAACAAAGACTTTGATAATCAGATAAGCAATTTGAAACAATAAGCTTTATGTGCCATAGCAGAATCAATATGCGGTATTCAGCTGTCAAATTCTGAGAATCAAGCACATCAGTTAAGTTTAAAAAATCATAAATTAAGTTAAAAAACAGCTGAAAACCAAATCTAGTAAAAGCAGACAATTGCATACCGCAGAACGTTGTTGGTTAAGACCACCATTTGCATCAACAATCAAGTAACCGCTAGAACCAGGAGACTCTGAAATTCAGTAGAAATATTAAATTATCATACAAGTCTGAGCCCATTTCCTCTCCTTTCAAGCATTAAAATGTCAAAAAACAACAGTGACAAGGATTAGAAAGCATCTGCAAGGGTGGGGTTGGATGAAGTCTAATGACTAATTTTCTCAAAGACCAGAAAATGGAAAACTTACATAAACGTGGTGGTAATAACTTTTATGCTCCTACCCCACCCTTTACAAGTTATCCCTAACATGTAGTAATAATCAGGCAACAGCTGCTTCTGAACTCCAATATTAACAATATTTGAACAAACTGAAGGATCATAGAACTCTAAGAGAAAAGCCATCTCAGTAAGAAATTACCGATCATGCTAGTTCTGTACAAGGAGAAATGATTTCTAGCCATTGAATTTGGACAAGGTTTCTGTACTTTCAGCCTTCTTTTGTATTTCCACACAGAGGACAACTGCAGCAAAAAGAAGCATATTATCGCAGCTTATTACAGAAATATCTGGATCCTATCAGAGGGACTGAACCCTCAAGGAGAAAAGCCAAGAACATAATGCATTTCTGATCACTATGTAGAGTTAATAAGACAAACAAAGAATGCCAATTTAGATCCATCTAGGTCACTATCTTGTTAATGCTGAAAACCTAGAGTTTTTTTTTTTTTTCCAAAGAGTAGAGTTTTAAATTTCTGTTGTAACCAACACTAGCCAAGTGCTATATTAAAAGTCCAAATGGAGAAATGAAAATTAAAGATGTTTGATTTTGGGCATAAGCCAAAAAATGCAAAATTTCACATCAATATCATTTTCCAAGCAGAAAGTTCAAAACTCCACTAATCAACTTATCTTGAAGTCCTTTGCTTTCCCCATCAAGCTTCTTTGCTTTCTTATTTCTAGATCAATTTCCATATACTAACAGTTTCTGCTTTATCCAAGAAACCAAATTATTTTATGATAAATTTTGTCCAATGTCTAGTCAGCAACCAATTAGAAAAGAGCACACAAATAAATAATAGCTAAACAACTGATCATATAACTCAAATCTGAACCTTTAAATGGAAAGAATTATAGCTAAAAAACACTCAATATTTCAAAAAAAAAAACCCTCCATTCACATAAAAATTAAGATCGTCTCAAAAAATTTAACCTTTATAGTCTAAATCTAGCAACCAACTTCACCATCATTAACACCAAATGCAGCCATCACAAAGCATATGCTAGCAAGGCCAAAAAAGAGTTTTTTTTAAGGAAATAATTCTTTAATTTTTTTTTAAAAAAAAGATATTAAAAAGAAGAGAGAAGTTGAAGAAGAAGAAGACCTCAAGAGCTGAAGCATTATCAAAGCGAATATCATCCCAAAGCCTTCGAAAATTCTCATGGCTACGGTACACTGATCCAGGAACAGAAGCATAGCCCAAAAGCCCAGAAAATGGACCGACACACATGAACAAGCCCGAAATGTACAAAAGCGGCAGCACCAACAAGTACCGGAGATTCCGCCGGAAGTTCAGGCCGGAACCAAGGTTTTCACGGCGGACGAAAGAATGGGTCTTGGAGCGCAGCCGCCGGCGGCACTGGGATAGAGACGGAGTGAGACGCGGCTTCGGCGGCGAAGGAGGTGGGCTCGGAGAGTTGCTGTTGGTCCCGCTACTGCTCTCGCTGCTGTAGCCATTGCTTCCACTGTTGTTGTTGTTGTTGTTGCTGTTGCTCTTGGGTTTCATGGAAGTGGCAATGTGAGCTGCCATGCAAAGAGAAACTCAGAAAAAAAAAGAAGGAAACAAACAATGATCTTCTCTTTTTCTTTTTCTTCACTTTAATTTTTCTCTGTTTGGTTTTTTCTGAAGGTTTTGAAGTGCTCTCCGTGTCCGAAACTCTGCGAAGAGTGTGGACTCATTTTCTGGAGTTTTTTTTTTTTTGGTATTATTACTTCTTAAAAGTAGTGTTTTTTTTTTGTTTTGTTGTTTTCCACTGAGATAACAGAGAGAGAAGCTAGGCTGGCGTGGCTTCAACTGAGCTATAATATTTTCTTTACTGAGCTATAATTAGAATTTAACCGTAGATTAACACTTACCACGAATAAATAACTCTTTAAGTTTTTAAATAAAGTTAGTGATTCCAGGAACTTTTTGAAATTTTTTATTAGTTAAAATGTAATTTATTCAAAAGATTTCAAATTTCAAATCTTTATAAAATGTCAAGAATATCCATAAATTAAGAATGTTAATAGATACTTGTATGTCTCAAGTTAATTAAATAAAATTAACATAACTTATAATTGAATTCAGATAATAAAATTACTAATCCTCATGAGTTTAAACAGTGGTTGTAAGATATTCATTACTCACACTTAATTGTAAATAATAATTTTTAATATTAAATTTTAGTTATATATATGATTTTTTATTTATAATTTTTTTACAATTAATTTAATATTTGTTAAAATTCATTAATTGTTTTAATTATTATTTTAATTTATTCTTTTATCAATTAATTTTAATTTATTAATTTAATTTTTATTAATAATATATATATAATTTTATTTCAATCAAATATTTAACGGATTTAGATATTTAATTGATAGTATTTATAATATTTTGAGTATAGATTTAGGAACGATTAAAAATTTTAATTAAATATTTATAAAATTTAAATATAATATTAAATAATAAATTTTGAGTTTGAATACTTTGCTCATTGATATCTTACCATAAATCAAATTTAACGTGAATGAATTGGATTTATGTAGAAATTTAACTGCCTTCCTTAATTGTCAAAATATACCTTTAAAAAAAAATTTGTCAAAATATAACCACAACCTGAGCCTTCTGTCCTTCTATATCTAAAGCCAATCCTTAGCCGTAATAAAGATCATGTGATTAATTAATGGAATAATGTAATGTTCTATGATTAATGGAAGCAGTTAATACGAGGGAGAGGGGTGAGGGTGGCAGAAACGGCTACAGCCGACAGCGATTGCATTGCCTCGGGCTCTGCTTCGGTGATGTTAGTGTGAATGCAGATAGTGTAATTGTATTTTGGACGGTTGTACCCTTCCACCGCTTCCGGATTGACCATGAACTTTTTGCCAGTGTCCCTTAGGCACTTTTAGGGACCTCCATGGCTCCGGGCATGGATTGGAACTTTCTCGTGTCTCCATTCGTATCTTTACTGCTTCCTCTTGTGGGATCCTCACCCTATCGGATCCTTCCATAGTGGGATTTGGATTGTGGTTATGTGTGATCCATTTTCCTCTGAAAAGATAATAAAGAGAAATTTAAAATTAAGTTATAAATTAGACAGTGGATTCTAACTGTCTGAATATTAATACTTATAACGTAATTTGAGAGTTGAAATAATTTATTTATTGTTGAATATTTTTATAATTAAAATTTGTTTACACCAATGTATTTTCATCAATGGACATTCGTTACTCAACTATAACAAGAAGGATAAAAAAACAAAAGAAAAAACAAAATTAACGATAAAATTAAAAAAATAATAATAAAAGGTTGATGAGCACTGAACCCGTTGGTCCATGGTGAGACTGGAAACCTAGGTGCGGCTAGCGTGAGCCAATCGGGCCGAACCAAGCGTTTGCACGGCACGATCGGCCCCTAAAAGTGTCAATTGCACCGTGATGAGCGCGAGACGGGGCCTAAGAGAACACAGTCCAGATCATGGTCGTCATGTCGCTCTCACTATCTCAGTGGAGCCCTGCATCCCATCCAGTGAGGACAAAGACAAATGATATGATGCGTCAAAAAGCAAAAAAAGAAATTTAAAATCCATATTGGTATTAGAAAAGGGCAAAATAGGCAAGTGGAAAAGGAGCAAAGGACTGCCACGTGGAGCCATCACATGGAGCGAACTGTGAAAAGACACAACAGGAGGAGACGAAAACTCTTCCGAGACATCCGCTCTATCCACTTTTTTGGAATCGCACGATCCGCGGCTGGACGTTTTATATTTACCGATTTACCCTGACTTTTAAGAATGTTTGTTGACTCCATGGCCCCTTTGCCCTCAATTCGAGGTGAAAATTCTTTTTACTTCACATTATTCCCTTCTCTATTTTTTTTTGGTTTAAAAATCTATTTATATTCTTTAAGCAAAGATTAACAGCTTACATCACCTGATTATTTATTTGGTATCTTAACATTCAAAGATGTGAACTTAACATATTATGAGTTGTACAATCGGGTAGCCTACTCATGTTACAAAACCGACAAGTCAAAAATAAAAATAAAAAATCATTTTGACTAGGCATAACTGTCAAACAAGAATGTGCTTAGTAAATGAATCATGCTATAAAAGATAATTAATATATAATAATTAACTACTTAAACAACGTTTTAAATTTAAATCCTGACAATAAAAAATTTAAACCCAAATTATTAATTAATTTAAATTTTATATAAGTAGATTTTTTTTTAACATTTGATGCTCGTTTAATAATTATGGCATCATATTGAATTATCTTAGCATCCAGAAAAGTTTATAAAATTACAGATAAAAGAGAGAATATTGTGTGCTAGCATATGAATGATTTCTTCTTATATGTCAATTGACTTTCTATTTTAATCCTATATGTAAACCCAACAAAACTAAACCAATTCTTTTGGAAATTAAGTGTAGAGGAGATCTTTTATCTCCTCCCCTATATGAGATCCGTTGAAGTGCTTCTCTCACATGTGGACTCTTGTTCGATGTTTCAAACTCTACCGACTATATTATTTCAGCCAGAATAAAAAAAAAAAATAGTAGTTGGGGAACTGCTTGGGTCTACTCTCCTTAAGTAGGCCAGTAGATACGCTATTATGGGGACATGAGTTTATTATAACCAAAGAGCTCATTCATTGCTCTTCGTGGGTTAATTTTCTTTCTGCCTAAATTTTTTGAAAGAGACTAATAAGAGAAAGAATAACAGCCCCTTATATTAAGTCTAAATTATTTATAGATTTCTTTTAAAAATGATATTTAAAGTGCATTTTTAATTTTTAAAAAATCATTTGGATTTAATTTTGTATGCATCTATTATTAACGTTCAAGTAGAATTATAATTTTAGAGTAATTTCCAAGTACAATAAAACTCCTAAATGCTTTTGTCCTTACTTTGCCTAAATTAACTGACCATGAAACATTAATTGTGCCCATGGTGGACCAGTACCTCATTTACAACACCCACCGGCAGAGAGTTGGTAGTGGGGAAGCAGTGAGCAGAGTTTGCTTTGATGTTAGGTGGCTTTGCTTAGGAACTGCTAGCAGCGTCTCCTTGATTTATCAAAATACAAGCACCAACGCCAGCGCCCTCATTGTCTTTTCCAATTATTAAGCTAAGAATGAAGAGTTAAAACAAATTAAATTTCTCTTTATTGCTGTGCTGGGCGAAAACATGCTCTAACCAGCCCTCCCAAATAGCTAAGATTTTGAATTTGTTAAAACAGACACGAACCCACCAGCAACAACTTTTCTTTGGCTCCATCAGCTCCCTGTTTTTGAAGCCACAAACTAGAAGCAACTTTGCTGTCTCCGGATATGGAGTTCGACCATAATTCCGATTGAAAGGCAAAAGCTTCAGTCGTTCATTAACATTGGCCATCAATCTATTAGAGTATTTTCGGGCAACTCTGGCGTGAAAAAAGCCACTATTGACGTGGACAGAGGCGCACTTAGGCCCACTGATAGCGGCAGACCGTCATTAGCGGTGGAACAGCGTTTTTTTTTTTTATGAAATATAACTCATTCATGTGCGGTGGTTGGCAGTAGCCTGAGGGAACTAGAACGAGTTCGCTGAGTAGAGTTTCTCCGGGAATATACTTGGGTGACTTCAAAAGGTCCTCAACTGAATTCCTAAGTTTCTAATTCTTTGTATCATTGTATTTATTTGCTGCGGTAACTTGTTGGAGGGCAATAAAAAACAGAAGCAGCACATGAAAAAGGCATACTACTACCGTTCACCATACATAACATTAATGGTTACATATTATAGCTCTTATAAGTTATAACGTTCTTTTTTAAAAAAAAAAATGCTCTAAGCTCCGTTCTTCACCTGAGAAAAAGTACAAAGATGCTAAGTATATGGATCCATAATCAAGGTCATAACAAGTCTTTTCACTCTGATACCAAAGAAGTTTTTTCACCATTCAAAAGGCTCCAACCCTGTCCCGGGGTATCAGGCGAAGTTCAGAACCATGTTTGAGGAAGACGTTTCCTGACAAAGCCAATTAAATTTTGTAAACATAACTTGTAATGGACACGGCAAAATATTTTCATTGTTATAAAGGACGAACAAAATCAAATCAGTTCAATTACCTAATAAAATTAAATGCAATTTAAGTAAAACGATTCAATCTAATTGATCCATTGGATCAATTGGTCCAAAATGTTTGATTCAATTGATTTTTTGATCGGTTCTAGATTTTAAAATTTTTAAACCAATCCATCCAAAAAACCAAAATAATTTTTTATAATATATTCTTTATATATATTACAAAGAATTAATAGTAAACTTAATTAATAATATACTTAAAATATATTAATTTATTACATATACATATAAAAACAATATCATAGAAATTTAATTTTAGTTATATATATTTATTTATTTATAAATCTGTATTAATATCAAATTATAACTTATAAATTTTCAATGATATAACTTATATGTTAGTATTATAATATATGATAGTAAATACCCTATATATTAATATGTTACAATTATTACATTTTAGTAATGTTTCATAATATAAAATGTTATAAATATATATAATTGTATAAACATTATATATTTAATTTATACATAAGTATTACTATAACTTATAATAAATTTTATTTATATGATTACATTTAATAATTTTATTAATTATCACTTTAGTTTTTATAACATACCTAATTAGTTATTATTTACACAAACTTTAATATAAAATATTATAACATATAAATTGTGTCTTTAATTTCATATATACATAATAAAGTTATGCATATATATATATATATATATATTCATATATTAAGTATTACTATAACTTATAATAGACTTTATTTATATGATTACACTTAATAAATTTTTTAGTTATTACTTTAATTTTTATAACATATTATTTATATAAACTTTGATATAAAAATTAAAATATTATAACATACAAGTTGTATCATTAATTTTATATATATAATAAAGTAATCTATTATATATACCTATATTTAATTTATACATAATTTGTATATATTATAATTATGGATAAAATTTGTAAGTTTTAATATTATAATTTATTAAAAAAGAGATAAAATGCTGGTCCATTGGTCTAAAGTCAAACCAACCAAACCAATTCTATGTTTGGGCGATTTAGTTGTCCTTTATATTTCGTCAGTTTTGATCAATTTTCTAAAAATGTTTGATCTATTTGATCCTTAAGTACAGCAGACCAAATCACTCAATCCACCCATTTACTCACCTCTGCCAGCCTGTATGCAATTAAAGAATAGGAGAAGATTGGACTCACTAAATTAACGGGGGATGGCCATGATGAGACATGGTACACTATGGTAAAATAAAGTCCATCATAGATTTTCGTATTACTGAGCATACTTTGCTAATTTGCTATTCTCAGGTTCCATCAATCATAAAGGTAAGGCATGACGAAGACGGATAGGAAAAGCAAGGACATAACTGATATTCACATCATGAAGTTTTTCTGATAGTCTGGAATAACAGTAAATAACTTGCAGAGGAATGCCAGTCTGCCTAAATGATATAAAATATTCCTAATTCTCATTGGCAGATCCTAAACTACTATTATACACCGGGTTCCCCAAAAATCAAAATGCGGATGCTTAGTCAAAAGCCAGCATGGATCTAATCTCAAGAATAAATTTAAAGAAAATGCATAACAAAAGAAGGGTAAAATTCCACAAGACTAGATAAGGAGCAAATAAAATGAAACTCTAAAACAATAAAACTAGTTAACAAGAAGTAAGTACTAGCATACCTGCACTTTGCTGAGGATTGATTCCTACACCATCTGTATTCAAGAAAGACATAAAATTCAATTAACAATAAATTCAAATAAAAACTAATCTACGAATTAGGATGAAGATATTTAGATATCGAACACCATACAGTTCACATGTCCATCTGTTCACAATTATATCTACATTCATATTTAACATTGCAGATTGCAACTAGGCTTATTAAAAAGAAATGATAGAGATGAGGGAGCCAAAGCTGTCTATAAATGTTATATTTCACAACGATTGAATTAATTCATAATGTTATTTTGGTTTAACGATATGCAACCGAGATGACTAATACGTCCAAACATGATGTAACTTTTCATTGTTTTGTTCAATTATTTTAAGTTTGAAACTTACTCGGGCACTACCAACTTAGTGAAGACCAACTCAGACTCTCTCTTTATATCTCAGAATCTAGATTCCATATCCATGCTTATGAGCTCAAAAAGTCAAATGATCCTTATGAGAACCAGGTCTCATAAATTATAATGAGTACTGCCCCTTAGCTGGAATTTGAGAAAGTGAAGGACAACTTATTAACAGATGCAAAGTTCAGCCAAAAGAGAAGGCTCCATTTCAAACATGGAGAAATTTTCAGAAGTTTTTAATGGGTTTCTCCAGACCATGCAATATCCTTTCGTTATCTTTGCCAGCTGGATAATTTTACTGATCTAAATGAATAACCATATCTACACAAACTACAAGTACATCTCAGTGATGGAAAGGTCCACCTCTATGCAACTTCCTCACGTCATTACAAATCAATAAAACCTAGCCCCCTGTAAATTGCCTATCTAGGTGCAGCTAGGAAGAAAATAAATTGCACATAAAGAGACAATGCATCGCCTTTCATCATAGACCATGAATTTCTCAAGCAATTAAAACAATGTTTGCAAGCACTAACAAGCATATGCTAACTGGTTTCGCAGACCATGTGTCTACTGTATCAGGATCTGGTTAGAAATGCCGAATTGGGAAACAAGGACATACAGAAAAGAACAAAAAGATTAGCCTACATGAGAAACAAAAAAAAAAACTGAAACAACTTCATAGAAAATTATAAACAAAATGCACTCCACAAATTTTCAAGACAAATTGAGCATTTTTTTTTTCTTTTCTAACACCCATACACTATCTGTCCAATTCTATCAAATTATAAAACTCAATAAACTAATTTATCACGTATATTTTTAAATATTCTTTAGTACGATAAATTCTGTCTAATTCATCTCATTTATATTGAAATTCTTGTTTTTTGCCCTAAAAAAAGAAGTCGTCAAATTTGCTTTTCTGAGCTTGTTTCCACCTTTAAATTCCCAAATTCTGTATTGAACAAATAATATATTGAATTAATTAACTGAAAATCACATGCAAAAAAATAGTATTCAAAAATCGATTAAATTAATACTTCAAAAAAAAATTCAAAAGAAGTCGGACGACAGAATTGATTTACCATTGGTGATGATAGCGCTGGTTTGGGGAGGGACTTTGAATTCCTCGGCTGCGAATTTCAAGACAGCTGTAAACGGGGCTGCTTCAGGAACGCTAAACCTGCAATTTCGATAATTATATAATAATAAATCCAGATTAATAACCAAAAATTGAGAAAATCAAATCAAGCACTCGAACAAAAAAGGGCAAAAATGGAAAACTCACACTTTGAAAGGGAGCTTTGGATCGGAGGTAAGAGTGACTTTGAAAGACACTTTTCCACCACTCGCCATATCTCCCTCTTTTCTTTTCTTTTTTCTTTTTTTCTTTAATAGATTTCTGAAATTTTTCGGAGATAGAGAGAGATCCGATTATATATATTTTCGTTAGTTATTTCTTTTATATATATATATATAGCACGCTTGTTTATTAGGCCAGTTCTAAGATAAAAAGTCATTAGAAAGGGGAATGCTTGGAATGGGCTTTAACTAATGGGCTTGGGCCCTTCAATCTATGGTCCATTTTTTTCAATACTCAATTAAAAACTGGATTTGACCCGACCCGATCTAAAATTTTAATTATTAAATTACAATACAATATTACAAATATTTAAAAAAAAAGGCAACTCCTTAATACTTCAAAATGAACTCAAAATTAATAACATATTTCTAAATTCAAACAAAAAATAACAATTAAAATTTGAAATAAAATATCAACCATAAAATCATAATATTACATTGTCAAGTTTTATATTTCAATGCCTAAGAGGAATCATATCAATATTATATTGTTAAGTTATGTGACAATATCTTAACTTCAACTAAGGTATTGAGATAGTCAATGGATTTTACAAAGTTCAAATCATAAAATTTGCTAGAATTTAATTTTTTTTCCCTCATTCAATTGGTTTTAAATGATATTTTTTTCAAACCGGGTATCCACATCCATATCAACTAATATATAAATGAATTTGGATAACGAGTATCTTAACTCTCAAATATAAATCTTATTAAAAACTGCATTAAATATTAATTTTACTATTCAAAAATGTATTAATCAAGTTTATTCGTACAAGATATCAATTATCCATTAATTTAGAGTATTAATTTTACTATTCAAAACATATTTATGAGACTGCATTTATTTATAATCATCAAAAACCCTATTAATGAAGTTTAATTGAATGGGGTACCCAAAAAAATTCCCTTTATTGCCATTTTTTTTTTGAAAAGTCATTTAGTGCCATTCTTAGTCTTTGACTTGAATCAATTAGATTCACAAAACAGAGAAAAGGACAAGAGAAGAATATTTAATTAATTTACATAAGAAGTAATGACATTAGTTCTTCAATTTTGCTTCTCAAATAAAAGAAATTAAAGAATGAATTATATTTATATACCGTTATACATCCTTCGCCATGCTAGAGAAAAAAAAAATCAGTGTACTATTTCCCAAAACAAAGATTGCTTTTCCTTATAGGATGAACCACAGGTTAGCCACTAATAGCAGTGCAAGCATAGCAGACCACCATGTTCCCATCAATGGATTTGTGCCATTTGCTTTGTTGTTGCAGATGAGCTTGTGATCATGGTAAGTGCATACTGGTTGATTCCTTAAATGAACAAGAAATGTTTAATTCATAAATCGTTAATCAGAGGGGGACTAGCTAGCTACTAAGATTTCAATCAAAATATGTCAGCAGAACATACAAAAGAGAGGACTTAAAAACACATGAAAATAGCTTTTAAGGGTTACTTAATAGGAGATGCATTTCTTTGACCAGGATCACCAAGAGATGATAAAATGAGCGGGCTTCATTAGCTTTGGGTGATTGATTATTAATCAATCCTTCCTTTCTAGGATGGAAAATCCACTTGACTTAAACGTTGCAATTATTTTAGCAGCAATAGACTTCCCTTGATATGCTAGTTGAAATGAATGAAACTGAATGTAATCTAGCATCAAACTGGTTAAGATCTCTACTTGTTAATGCTGTTTATCCAAGTCATAAGACCTGAAAGATTAGGGAAATAGATACACCAACCTGGCTGAGCAGAAGGTGATCACATAATCTGCTCCAGAACAAGTGAAAATACTGGTGGGATCATCATATGCGTAACTATATGCTGTAGGACATGCAGACTTGAACTTCTTGGAATAATATGTTGGTTGACAAACCACAGGGTTCCCGTATAGCCCTCTGCAGCAATACTCATCGGTGTTGAATACGTCGCAGGCGCTACGGCAAGCTATTACCTTCCCATTGGCCTTGACACTCAGTTCGGAGGGGCAATTTTTCCTCAGGTCTGAATCACAACCTGCAACGGTGCAGTTTCCCTTACCATTGATGGGTGTAACAGCTAGTGGCAAATTAAATCCATCAACTAGGCTAACATCGTAAAAATCTAATTGAGAAAGGGTGAATTCAGCAAGTGATGCTGGGGTTTTGCCTGAGCCTGAACACTTAAGGGTGTTGCCACAGTCCGCTGTCTGGCATGGACCATTGCCGTTTTTGTCAAACTTGCAACCGGTTCGACCCCATATGCGGCCACTCCAACTTACTGGGGCTTGAAAGACAATAGATTGGCCAGATTTTAATGCAAAACCTCCACCGTTAAAGTTGTCGCCAGGGGTTATTCCAGGCCAGATTGTTTCCTTGCAACTGTTTATTATGGTGAAGATTCTTGCACATTCATATATTTTTGGCCCTGCCAAGTCCAAGAAAAATTAAAAAGAAGACCAGTAGTTGATATCTGTATAAGAAAAAATGAGACGGAGGATGAAAGCATGCATTTCAAGTTAAAAGTCATCATATGACTTGCGTATAAAGTAATGCATGTGTTAATAGTAGAAAGAGGAAAAAAGTACAGATCGAAATACAAGTATTTGATGAACTAGGAATTTTACTTATTAGGCAATATCTCAATGCAGTCATAGAAGAAGGGAAATGCAGTAAAATGGTTTCCAATAATAACGTGACAAATGTTACTGTTACAATATTTTCATCTTTGAGCCATACAAGAGTTGGAGAATTGAACCTATAATATATCCTTATCTAAATTCCATCCACTCTTCTCTTCACAAATCACCTAAGCTAAATCTAAGAAACTATACTTCATGACATTATTGTTGCAAATGAGAGAGCTTATCCAAGGAATTAAGAGAACTAATTACCTGACAAAAGCATTGCCATTACCAAGACAAGCGGTGAAAGCAAATCCATCTCTCTCTCTCTCTCTCTCTCTCTCTCTATGTAGGGGGGGTGTTTGTACTTAGTCATTTGAAAAATTATTGCAGCAGGCATTTAAAGCAATAGGGGGTGAAGAATACGTGCAGAGGGAGGGTGGGAAGAGTCAAAACCCAAAGCATTAACTATATCAAGAAGGCTTTTCCCCAGGGGCTACATGATTCTTTTCCTTATCCTTTCGCGCAAGTTTATTCAGGTTCCAATTCTCTTCTACTTTTAATGCCCACCATGGGCCGACATAATCTGCCACATACTGATGCCTCATTGGTTATATATAGCCTATCTTTACCTTCAATTTTTTTTGACAATCCTGTTTTTTTCTTTCCTCTTTTTGGGTAAGAATTAATTTTCGGACAGCCTAGTTGCACAAACATCGGCATAATGTGATCGAAAAGGAAACATAGTATTTACCTCAGTTCTTCACGTTCTCTTAGAAGTGATCTCTTTAACAAAAACTTAAAAGAAGATTATATTATACTAGTATTTATATGCAAGGTTTGGAGATATTCATTTTTATATTTGTATTTTTGAGGGAAATCAATATATATTGATTATTTTTCCATTACAAATTTTGATGATTATTAATCTTTTATAACATTACGCTCAAACATTTGATCCAATAATAAATATACAAATTATCTTATTCAAAAAATTAAATTTAAGTTTTTTTTGCTTGAAAATCAAAACATATATGAAACGCATCATTTCCTGCACCATTAAGATGCTCATGCACCTTATCTATTAGAAAATATTAATATGTGGTCGACATTCAATACTTTTGCAAATGCACTTAAAAGCGTCTCGCATAGATCTTTAATGACTTCGTAAATTCAGGAAGATCTTCTGGCCATGCAGGCAAAAGCTCAACTAAGGAAAAGGATCTTAAAGGTAGGCAAAGCTGAGATGGAGCTCCTCTAATTTACAGCAGTCTAATCTTTAAAATTCTGTGAACCATGTGGCTATGAGTCAGTGTGAAGGGAAGATTTCATGTCAAGAAAGCTCTGTCTCTAATACTGTACATATCCTTAGATATGATTTGGTCGGCTATTGTTGTCACGTTTGCCTTTGCTTTTCTTCACCCAATTAGTTATTCTGATATTCTCACTGACGAGTACAAAACTCTGCTTTAGTCGAAAAAGGAACTGCACTGTACCAAATTTTGTATAACTATTTCTTCTTATTCATTCAGGGGTAAATTATATGTTAAATGTCCATGTATTTATCTAACTTGATATGTTTTGAAGACAAACATCACTACCAGGTTATGGGGTTATAAGCAATGTTTTCACAGCTCCTAACGACAAAATTTTATCCTCCTTTGACATTACAAAGATGAAAGAACCCATTGAGATCAAACATTTATGAGCCATAGTCCCTTGCTCAAACTCAAAACCCAATTGAGGCTACCGTAAATCTTTTATGGGCTGATTGGGGAGAGAATATCAAGCTGCGGTTTTGGATCAACCTCGGCGGTGGAGGCCTGTAAATCAAGCTCATCTAAATAAATTGTTAGAGTGGTACATAAATAAGATGAAAAATAAAATGCAAAAAAGTGAAATAAGCCATTAACTTTCTAGTACTTGCAAGGAAAAAGCAATAAACATTTTTCTTTTTGATTCTTGTGAAACACTTCAGCTGGAGTGCTGGTTATTATGGGTCCATTGACCATTAGCTTTAGTACTTTGAGGACCAAAATGAAGGTGATACCGATCTGCTTTGGAGTTAGGAGATATCATCAAAATATGAAACTCGGTGTAGTTTTCAAAGCACAGTGTTGACCATGAACTTTTGGAGAAAAAGAAAAAAAAAGAGGCCAGAGAACATGGAGCCATGGCTGTTGTTACCCAATCCTTGGCTGGACCAATCTAGATTCTGTTCAGAGCCCATCCACGTTAGATGGGCCATGATGATAAACCAGTTAGCCTATGATTGATCCCAAGGCAGAAAGGAAGATTTGGGTGATGGGTTTTCAATTCAAGTGTCTAGTTGCACTTGACTTGGCGTATCATAATTCATAGAGAGAGAGGGTTTTGTTTCACAGTAGTTGTAACATGGGTTTGGACAAGGATCATCATCACACCATAATTCAAGGCAAAATAATTGAAATACGATAGGAAACTCGATTGCTTTTCAATTTACCTGATTGGTTTGATCAAATATCGAAGAAGAAAAAGGGAAACGAAAAATAGGCATAGATAGATCAATAATCATGCATCTTTAAGTACGTGGGACAATGCAGCCATTGAAAAGCTTTTTCCACCCAAAGGTATCCTTTTTCCAGGTAGAAAATTGCCATTTATGAACTTAGCATGACATCATTGAAACATGAGCTACAGTGAGAGTGAAGTGCCGTACTTAGAGATTTCATGATTATCCATAATTGCATTACTTTTTATTATCATTCACCGTTTACAAACTTAGAATCTCCAGAATTTCAAAGGTATTTTCCATTATTCAAGTCAAGTTGCACAATTACATGATTTGTATGAAACTTGTTTGCCGACGAGGAATCCATGGGTTTAATTGTCCACATCCCATCTAATTTAAGGTCTCGTATCTTTATCGTCCACACTCATTTTCCCCGCATCCAAACAAAGCCAAAATCATCAGCTGATCATGTTGGAACGTAAAAAAAAAAAAAAGAAGAAGAAGAAAAAGAATGACGTATCAGTAATCCAGTACTCTCTCCAAGTCAAAGTGGGGTATTCGAAATAACTTTTGAGCTTTAGGCAGCTGTTTGGTCCCCCAATTTTCTTTTTCCCAGAAAGAGTGGCCTCTTGCTCTCATACTTTCACATGTAAAGTGGGTAAAGATCTAGATGCACTTGGTATATAAACGTATAGGAATCTAGGGTTATCAGCAATTTTCCTTTTAAATTGACATGTAAATATTTTGATTTGAAAGCATATCTAAAATTGCCTTTGTTATTTATGTTTCTATTAAATCAATCCTACTACCTCACATTTAAATATAGCTTAAAATCATACTAGAATTTTTGTCTTTTGATGAAAATATTATTTAAGCTCAAATAAAGAGTATTTTGGTATTTTGATGATAATATTTATTAAATTATAGTAAAGAGTAATTTTTTCTTACCACTTATTCTTAGGGCTTTTTTATTTTTACAAAATGCACTCTAAATTTTAATAAAGGGTATATTTTTTCATTTTATCATTTAATCTTAGTTATTCTTCAATTTTTTTTATCAACCAAATAATGAAATATTATTAAAATAATAATTTTATTTCATGAACCAAACTATATAATAATTCATTACTTTTACTTTATTTTATTCTTACAGGATAATTATTCAAGTCTTTCTCTATTCATTTCGCGAATCAAATATTCTCTTAAATTTTAAAATGAATTTATAATTGTGTATACAAAAATCTCTTTAATAACATAATAAGTGTAATAATTAATTCATAGAATATTATAGATATTTAGAATGTTCATGAGAAAAGGCAACAAAGAAACTAAGCAAATTAAGTAGAGTAACTTCTGAATTGCAGGACTTGAACCATTTGTGGTAGTGCAGGGAGATATTCCATGTTGTATTTTAGAGATATTTAGAATCCTGGAGAAAGCTACGGTTGGTTTTGGAAAAGAAGAAGAAGAAAAAAAAGGGTTTGGAGATGATTATGATTGATGCAAAGCTGAATTGTATTGTTCATTACGTAATAGAGAAAAAAGAAGAAAGCTTGTTGATTGTGTTTTAATTGTGAAAGCTGTTTGATTAAAGGCAGTCAAAATAATGACAAGTATCATTTTCGAGCTGTCTGATTACCTTTTGCCTAACTTGTTTATAATCTCAAAGCATTGATTTAACAACCTAACAGCAAAATATTACTGTTTGCCGATGAATAGTGGATTAAAGCACAAGATTAATTGGAATGAATTGGTGAAAAGGTTTTTGCTGAAAATTCCTTCAGTTTTACATCATTACTGATTAACTGGTGAAAATAATTCAAAAGAGGAAACATGATTGCAATTAAGAAACTCCATTGGCTTTGCATGCTTGATGGATTGTCTGATAGCACAAGCTTTGACAGGACCAACAATATGAATCCTAGGACGCTCTCTCACTTAGATCTTTGTCATGTTTGCCACAAAGCTAAGCAATGCAAGAATGGAAAATGCCTACTGTATATGTGTGGATGATGCTCATGTATGGACTAAGTATTTAGGCAAACTCAATTCTTCAAAATGGTTCTTTGATTTCTCCAACACTTAGAAAGAAGTAAAGTTAATGCCATGCTTTACATAGGGTAAGCCCTGTTTTACTCATGACCTGAATTAGCAAAATTATAGAATTAAACAGGGGTGAAACATGACATCCCAACTCAATTATTCCCATAATTTGAACATGTCGCCAGATTCTAAATAAGGCCACCTAATTTTAACATGCTGGGGAGGATTTCAAGATCATGGTTGGGATGCCTAATCAAATGGGCCAAAGAGAAAAGACACTACGTCGTAAGAAAAATTCTGATCTAATCAACCCCTTCAATCTTGGTTTAGACCCCTAAACACCCAAAGACCATACACAGAAAAGAGAAAAAGGTGATGAAAATCTTTTTATAAAGCCAGTTGGCACACGTGTGGTACTAATGATGATTAGCACCAAAGCTCACCCTCGAAGCAATCATTCACTCCATCTTTAGCCAACCCCCACATCCCCTAATATTCATACACAACTCTGCTTTTCTTTTTGAAGGGTATCTCCTTTCAATCCTTCATGACTAAATTAAATTTCTTTTTTTTCTCTCACTTTTTATTTTTATATACTACATTTTTCTTCCTACTTCCATTTCAAGATCAATCAATATTTCCATGGTTTCTTTGAAATGAAATAGGACCCATGGTGGCCACCCCGCTCGTGCAGTGCATGAGAGCCTGGACCCATCACCTTCCTGTCAGGCCCAAAAGAACAAAGAACAGTGAAATGAGCCTGTCACCCGTGGGGGGCATAGATACATCACCCACCAATGAAAGCTAAAGCTAGAACCAGCATAGGAAAGAGC